CAGAACTTTATATTTTTCTGGATTTCTCCTTTCCTTTCCCTTTTTTAAACCTTCCCTTATTCGTCCTTTTAAAATATGAAAATTGCATTAAATCCCCAGTTAAACACACTTGGGAAAAAACTGCTGAGCCCTGTATTGGAGATCCAGCACGTGTCTGTCGGTATTCTACATGCTCGATAGAAACACAACTTTGCATTTCCGGAGCGAATTGCATGCTGCTTAGTCTCCAGGAAAGAAAGCAAAAAGGCAGCACTGGAATGGCAGTATTCCATTTTTATGAAGGCTCTTTCATTACAGAGGTCAATCTGGACTCTACAGTGAAGGACTTCTGTAGATACACTGCAGTGGTGCAAGGACAAAGCTTGCCATATTTACTGGCTGTCTACCTGCCTTTTCATGATTGTACCAACTTCGTAACAGATATACCCAGAGTTCAGTTTGCTCAGGGTCTTGTGTATCTATCCTCAACTATTTTTAACACACTAGCAGTAGCAAGACTTCACATAACCAGCTACCAGCTAAATTGTTTTCTGTTTGCAATAAAATTGGATTGCATTGGACATAAGTGAGGATTTAAGAACAAAAAAAGCCATTCAAATCATACCTGCTAAATTACTGTAGTATGTCTAGAGTATAATGTTAAGTGATCCATATTTTCTGAGACAGAGAATACATGTGAAATAGGAATAGAACCTTCGCCTCTTCATTTGCAAAATTCATTATTTTGAAATTCTAACAGAGTCTTCACACAGTTTGAGCAAAAAACCAACAAGGATAAAGTTTGATCATATGAAATGTTAATACAGACTTACAGTGATCGTTCAGCTGTTTGGGCCTCTACAAAGCCATAGGTTTAGTTCTCTCACATGCAAAATTGTACATGTGGAAGCAGAAGGTTTAATTAAATTCTGGCTTGGAAAAGTGAAACCAGTTGTGCTTCTATCCAAATAATTTCAGAGTTGATGAATTATCTTTGGGCTGTGTGTACTATGCAACATCCCATGGAGGAAACGAGGTTCATTAGTTTATTCCTGCAGCACAGCAAGAATCGGAAAGAAGAAAATGACATGCAGAAGACAACTGACCTTTCTGCTCAATAGGTCAGCGTGCCTCAGAGCCAAGATTTACCACCACCTGCAACCCTCTGAGGTGTAGAAGCCAGTCATTCATTGAGAATCCAGTGTGTCCCAAAGCTACCCTTTTGAATATTGGATGATTTAGTAGGATGCCATCTCTCGGAATTAAGATTAATTATGAGGCCCTTCTCACTTGTTGTTTCACCTGGGTGAAAGCTACTGAAACAGAGCTAGTAAGTTAGCAAATAACGTTAAATGTATAATGCCATTTCCTAAGTGCTGCTGAAATGAAAAATTAGGAATTCATACATATTTCAGGGGGAAAAAACACAAGCCTTTGCTTACTTGTCTGAGTTTCACATGGGAAAAGACATGATAGGGATGCTAAGACAATTTTAGACCTATGCTGAATACTTGGACATTTCTAACTTCGTATGTGCTGCATTCATCAGGCAATTTCATATGGAGTGTGGGTGAGATAAAGATTGTTTATTATCAGCAGAAAATGATATTACAGAACCGCTTTGTTTCAGAGTATTTGCCAAGTCCATTATCCACCGATAGTTTTCATTTCAGAATATATTTTTCATAGTGCAGTAAAGATAGCAACTCAGGGTGAAAATTAAAAGAAGAAGAATGGCATTTTCCTATTTTTTCATGATTGCCAGCTGAAGTCAGAAGCACAGCAGTTAAAACATGGGACAGAACCTTGTTAGACGGCAAAACTATGGTCCTTCAGAGCAGCCATCAGGTCAGTCACTCAGCTGTCCTTCTCCCAGGGCAGGGAGAGAGCTCTACTGAAGAGCTTCTTTCTGAAGTCGGAGCAAAATGGGAGTCTGATCAGGGCCCACACTGTGGAATCTAACCAGTCCTGCAACATATCCCCAACACTGGAAATGTACATAAACCTTGGGAGCTGCCATACATAATAATTCCATTGGTTCAAGTGGGAGGAAATCATTGGATACCTCAATATGCATTAAAAATATTGTAAAAATCTGAAAAGGAGAGGAAAAGAATAAATACTATGGCTCCTTTTTTCCCACCTAGGCTTAGCTTATTTCTTTGTCTTTGGATTGTCTTCCCCCACTGGTAAGATTGCTCTTTGGTATTTAGTATTTATTTAGTACCAATATTCAGGTTATGGAATGCCTTTCCTCAGGAAGTTCCATTGTTCCCTGCCGTTTAGCCTTCCATAAACTTTTGAGGACATTCTTTTTAGGCCAGACTTGGATTGCTTAATTGCATTCTCTGTGGCTGCTCTAGTTTTCCTCTCAATTTTTAGAGGAAACATCTTGCTTCTTTTGCATTTTATTTTGAGATTATTATGATTACATTGCATCTATTTTTAATCTATATTATAATCTACTTTGGAGGCTCCTGTAGCTGAAAGACAAGATATCACTCTGCTAAATAAACTCATGAGTGTTCATTTAGCTGTAGTTGGCGGAAGTGTAAGAAGATAATGCACTAAGAAAGACTGAAAAGTAACACTTCTTAAATGTTGATCATTTGTTTATTTTACAATGAAGTACTGTAAATCACTGAATAAAATTGGCTGTGGAATAGGAGCATGATTAAATGAATAATCATGCTCCTATTCATGAATAATCATAGAACAGGACCCAAGAAGGCCATTGGGTCCAACCCTCTGCTGTTGCAGGTCACCAATTTATACCGTCCCACTGAGATGGCTGTCTTTGCACTGCCAAATCCTAAATGGGTGAGAAGGCATGCCCTCACTCACACAGAACTGCCTGTGCTGTGAAATAATCAGAGAAAGCTCTTGTGCGTGTATCTACCTCATGATGTGTAGAAGGTAGGCATGCATGATGAGGCTCTCTCAAGCAGTGCTGCCCAGATCGTGAAATTTCTTATCTTGGGAGGCACAGCTGGCTTTATCTCCAGATCTGCCCAGACAGAAAAGGAAACTGTGCTTAAGTGGACTTTCCTTCAGAATACTTGATACGTTGTGGTTGGGTGGCTTCTGGTGTTTTTGCTGATTTATTTCTTCCTTGGCCATTGTTTTGATACAAGTCTTGTAATATATTGCATGTAGGTTATTTTTATGGATTTTTATGAGATTGCAAACTGTATAGCCCGAACTGTGTGATCCTACCTAGGCTTGGAAGCTATACAAGGCCAGGCCTGGTTGAAATCTGGATGAGTGACCACCATCCAGTTGTGAGCAACCCAAAGAGCTTCAGCTACAGGTGGTATGGAAATGTACTCTACTACTAATCTGGTCTAGGGGCCTTGGAGGTTGAAGAAGCAGGGTATATATAAAAGCACAATAAAAACTAAAAGAATGATGACCAAACATGTAAAAAAACCTACAGCATATTCATCCTACTCTGTGCAGTGTGTTTTACTGAGGATATAGGTCTGAATGCAGAGAAATGGTCTAAATAAAAATAAAAATAAAAATAAAAATAAAAATAAAAATAAATAAATAAATAAATAAATAAATAATGCAAGAATATCCCAATGCTTTGAAAAACCAAGGCAAGTGTCTTTCCAACAAACAGGTGCAGTGCCTCCTTGCTCAGTTGCTCCCACTTTGCTAAGGAGTGAAGAAAATCCTTGCACTTTGGCAATGGTGCTTTATGGCCACTTCTCCCACCCACAACATCACTGGGATGGGGGAAAAGGAATATTTTACTGTACTTCTCTGAAATTTCTCCTCATAAGTTCTGGATCTCAAGATGAAAAACCAAAGAGGGAGAAGTTTCAAAGGGAAAACAAATAGAACAGACTCCATTATTTCCCGTGCCTTCTCTGATTCCCCTTATTTAGGTTTATGAGTGGGTCAGTTGTCTGCATAATTCCCTTTCCCCTCCAGTTCCTCCAGACGCATTCAGTGGGTTGTCGAGCTTCCCTTGTGTCTGGTACAGGCAGTTGCTGTCGAATGCAAGGGATGCGCTTCAGAAAGCACATTCTCTATAATGAGAATATTCCAGCTCCAGAATTCTGCCTTGCCATCTGTTTGTCTTGGAGATTTCCACGGTAATGACAAATGCCTTGCATGCTTTATCTTGAAAGACTCTGTGGTAAATAGGCTCACTCTGCCAAGGGTTGGCGGCTTCTTAGCCACAGTCATCTCAGTGCCAATCACAGATGCACAGTAGATGGAGTCCAGATCAGCCCACACTGGCATATGAGATGGGCTGCTGGTGCTGATCCCCATTTCTGTTCCCTCCCTTATAACGATGCAAGTAAACAAAAGGTGCGGCAGCATCACTGAGTCTGTGCCTCTCCGTGTTCTTGCTCACATAATTGGCTGGTGCAGCGGGGAGATGCATCACGCAATGATGTCACGTTGCATCTTGTTTATGTTTGACAAACAGGAAGAGAGGGAGCAGGCCTGGGTTTCTGTTTTGGCATTCTGAGTGAAGTGAAGCATTGTAGCGTAACTACCAAGCCACCAGACTCAAACAGTGAGATGCAAAGACGTGTACTTGTCAAGGCATAAACTTACCACCAGACATGCTGCTGTCTCTAAACCCACTGGCAGTCTCCTGCTTAAGTGGTAGAGTTAGTCCTGAACTGCTCCTGTTTATTTTCCTTGTTGCTCCTGGATGATTATTTGAAAATAAATGAAATAAATGAATTGTTGCTCATTTTGATGTGTTTAGAAATATACTTTTTGTTCAGTTCATTTTTTAATAAATGGTAACTTTCATAAGGTGCAGTTGAGTGCATGCTTACTCAGAAATAAATATATTTATATTCAGGGGCTTGATATCAGCTTAGTATGTACATCAATATAATGTGTGTTTTAAAAAGGAAAAAAAAATCTAAATTTCAGAAATGCTTATAGTTTTGAGCAAGTTACTGCTAGCTGCCTACTTTGCGAATTGGACTGCTCAATGAGTATGTGACTTACAGTAAGTTAATGGGTATGTGTGTTTCTTTCCCCTTCAGACTTGTTTTGAGTTCCGTTTCTGATTACTTTGCTGCCATGTTTACAAGTGATGTTTGTGAAGCCAAGCAAGAAGAAATCAAAATGGAAGGCATTGACCCAAGTGCTCTCTGGGATCTTGTTCAGTTTGCATATACAGGTACTCAAATGCATTAAATTATGTTTTGCACCATCGAGACCAGTAAATTTATTTATCTTTCTTTAACCACAAGGGCATAATATATCATAATATAATTTAATATGGTAGATGTTCGGGGATTGTAAAAAGCTGGGAATGAATGACATGGTGTGTCTTCTGTGATATTTATAGACATTTGGAGTACTGTGCTCTCCTGCCAGGATCTCATACCTCTTGGTGGAATTCCCTGTGAATGGAGGAACGGTTATTAATAAAATGTGTAATGGGTTCTAACAATTGGTTGGATGCACTGAAGCAGAGATTGCTTCCTTGTGCAATTGTGGGTGGGAATTATGGCCTTCATTCCTAAGAATATGAGTGAGGCAGCCTTTGGGGTCTGAAGGTTATTGCTTTCAGTGCACGCTTCCTTTGTCTGGAGAGAGCACAGCCTATCAGCTCATGTATGATTGCACAGTGGCATCATGTTTTTTTTTTTTGCAATACAGCAACGTAACCATGCAGGTTAATGGAGAAAATTGTGGTGTCTGTTAGCTCAAAATTCCTTTTCTGCTATAACTGTGTCTTACACAGTTGTGTGCAAATTGAAGGCATGTATCAATATTACGTAGCGGAAATAACATCATTTCTCATCCACGTGAGAATGGCTTACACTACTGTGAAGTGAGTGTTCAAACAATTGTTTCCATGTGTAGAAGGAGGACTCTGTATTGTAGTATATTTTGGAAAGTGTGAGGCTGAGAGTGAAGGGGAGAGTGGTCTTTTAAGGGCCCTAATGCTTCCCCCTCAAACCATCTGCACGGGTAGCATGTGAGATACTATGATCACCTTTATATCCAACCTTTTCTCTTTTCCTGGAGCTCAGAACAGCTCGCATAATTCTCTTAAAAATACTGTAGAGACAAGTTCTACTTTGGTGTGGTTTTCATGTTACTTCGGTGGTGTGTCAGTGGCAAGAATGCTCTTCTTTTCTACATCGCTACAGCAAGATAAGCCCTGAACTGTGAAGGAGGGCACGAGAGCCCCTGCTTCAGCCCTTCAGAGAGGAGGTTACTCAGTGGTGCAGGAGCGAGTCTTGCTATGTTCACCTTAAGGCGCAGCATAGAAAGTTCACTGTGCTTTTGCAAAATACCTTCAATCGGCTGAAACAAAGCCTTAAGCTTTAATTAGAGATGCAAGCAATGCTGCAAAAAGGGGTAGCCATGGAAGCACCTAGCATGAAGTCAGAATGCCACCGAAGGAAAGGAGAGTTGTATCTAGTCCCTGCTCGATCATTTCCCTCATTTGACACAGTTATTTCAAATCAGAACAAAACTGGAAGCTTTGTTATCTTCCCGTTCATTTAAAAGAGCCGGGAAGGTCCGTCCTGGGATTTTGCCCTCTGAGCAAAGTCTCAGAATGGCATTCTTCTGTGTTGTGCCTCCACTATGCCACCTCGAGTAATAAATCCGTTTCAAGGTTCTCTCACAGCCTTTCTGCATGGTAGAAAGTTCATCAGTGTTACTACTAGAGAGTTAAGCAGAATCTGTTTGAATGCATCTCTTTCCTGGGAAGAGGGATTAAAAACTGAACTTTGGAGTCCTGCAGGGGGGACACTCCCACTCCACTTTTTCATGCACATGCATGATAGTTACTTTCTCTGATTATACAGGAGTTTGTGTTTCAAATGCAAGAAAAACATCCATTTTGAAATGGGGGACGCTCGAGGAATGTCTGGTAGAATGTTAGCCATCCACTTCCTTACCATGTCCCTGTTCTGTTTTAAGATCCAAGCTAAATGTAACCTTTCATAATTGGAGTTGCATATTCCAACAAGCTGTCATGGGTGACAACCCTTGGTGGGTTATTGTGTTGTGCAGGTGGATTCTGTGCAGGCAGCAACCCATACCCAGCAGAGCAAACTCACTGTGGGTCCAGGAAAATGGCTAGCAAAGTGTTTTGCCTCCGGCTGTTCTCACTGATTTCACCTGGGCTGCTCTCAGTGGCACTTGTTCCACCGGTGCCCAGGTGGCAGAATGCAGGGACTGTCACTAGTTTGGAGTCCCCCTTGCCAACCACAAGCCCTTTGTCAATTGTGGCGGTGTGGACTTTCAGAAGCCCAAACAAGGAAGCTTTGTATGGACAATGCAGACACCTATTAGGGGCACGGACTCCGAGAAGTTGTAAATAAGGTTATGCTTGTTACTTTCCCCTGCTAGCTGTCAAAAAGCACTTTGTTACAGGAAAGCAAAGGTGTGTGTGAGCTTTGTTCTTGAAAAGGCACGGCCAGTAGGATGTGCCCTTCACAGGAAGACTTACTCTTTGGCTGAACCTCGCTCATTCCCATTCCCTGTATCTTCTCCACCCTTTCCCAAGACTTGAAGTTATCAGAAGGTGGAAGTTGTATAGGAGCACAGAATTTTGACGGTTGTTAAAGATCAGGCCTTCAGGGGCCTGATCTGGACAGAAGTGGAGGGGTTGTGAAGCTTTGTACATGTGTCCTCCTTGTTTTCCTGAGCTCGATTGTGACTGCTACAGCTGCCAAGCGCACAGGAAAAAAACTCCTGTGTAACATCCGTTTAGCCCCTCATTCTCATACTTGTATGAGGCAATGAAGGAAAGGCACTATGTTCACAGTGAAGTATAGACAGTCATGTGGCTTTTGCAAACTGGCATGGTTATAAGGGGAATATCAAACTACACTGAAATAATTAACGTTTTAGTTTAAATAAAGTAAGCTATCCTTTTAGGCTGGGTATCAGGAAGATGAATAGAAAACAAAAGAGTCAAGTTGCAAACATTTATTGGCAGTCAGAAATTAATGTTTGCCTCATTATGCAGCAACCTCGGCAAAATGGCAAACTTCAAGGGCAACTTGTTTAATTTGGAAACTGTAATAAAGAAACATACAAAAAGATAAACATTCCGTATCATTATATAATGTGTAATTTTTGTGATAGCCATTTTTCCTTTTAATTAAACGTTATAATTGAATTTTAAGGAATTCGTTAAAATGCTTCTTTATTCTATTATATAATTCAATTTCAATTTCATTAAAACTGCTGTTTTCATTAGGACTGCCACTGTATAAACAACATGTTGCTGCAATATACGTTTGTTTTCTCTAGGATGCTGATTATTTAGTGTTCCATGCCTACAGGCAAAAACTGACTGGTTTAATGTGCAGTGAGTCCTGAGAAGCCAAGAGTTCAAACAAGTTTCCACCTGGATCAGATATAGGTCTCTACTGGGGACAATGGAAGCTTTCTCTGTATATGTCTGAGCCCTTTGTGAGGGAGGATTTGTGGGGGTGGAGGGGATGGACATGAGTGGACAGAGATTAAACCGTCTTCTCCCAAAGTGCCGTGGACTGCAAAAGAGATGCTTGCAAGAGAATAGAGAAGACAACTACAATTAACTTTACTTACTGTTCTTAATTAGGCGAATGTTTAGTTTGGCTCTCAGAGGAATGCTCTCAGTGGAATTTCTGTTTATTTCATATATCTTTTATTTTTAAATTTGTATGCTGCCCACTAATCCAAAAGGAATCTCTAGGTGGCTTACAGTTTCCTGCAGAAGTCAGCAGTATCTCACATAAAACTTCAGTTGTTGGTATTTATGATCTGAATCCATATAACCAGACATATGACCATACCACTAAGACACCTCAAATGTGATAATACCTGAACAATGAGGTGTGCAATGTTACCTGGTTGCACAGGGTTAAGAGATGCCTGCTGGAAGGTTGTTATGGTGTGTCCTGCATGTTAATACGACATTTTATTGTCAGACTGTGTAGTTCTTTTTTTGATTCTCTTCTGTGGGACCTGAAGATGGGGAAGAATTGCTTCTCAACCTTGTGCGTGTATTCAAACTTGGTTCTGATGATGGCATTTCCTCCTTTGTAAGCAACTAATTGTGCCGGTATTTTCTGAGGCTGGGAATGGCATCACATTCTGCATGGCTGAGATTACTTGATGAATGATGTTGCAATAAACAGGAATGCTATTTCTGGTGACATCATGTCATAAACACTGGCTATAAAACTTATTAGTAACGGAACTATAACACAGAGATACCGTGCAGGTTTGCTGAACTTTCGCTTTATGTTGCTGTAAATATGTATGGATGACAGCTACGCTTCTGTGATACTTGTAAGGTTTCATCTTTTGCTTGTCTTCACAAAAATGCCACCTTGGTTTGCACACCCATTCCTAGGGTGTGAGTTAATGCAGCCTGGTTATGAGCCAAGATGCATGGGGACCACTACCTTCTTGCAGTTCCAGAAACTTGGAAAACGGCATTTGTTTATTACCTCCTTAGGTTATAAGAACCACAAACGCTCACTAGTGGGCTGTTTAACATTTGTTCCACCTTCTTCCAGCATCCGACAACCAGACATGCTGGGTGGGAAATCCAGGAAGCTGTAGAACTACCACCGCCACAACTACTATTACTATTATGTTTCCTCCTATAGTTGAGGGAAGGACGCATTCCAATGGAGCAAAGCTCAGGGAACCAAGATTTAGGGTGGATGCCAGGAAGTACTTCTGATGGTTAGGGTATGGAATGGGTTTCCATGGGAGGTGGTTGAACCCCACCGGTGAGGGTGTTCAAGGATAGACTGGACATGCACATGGCAGGCATGTCATGAGCAGAGCTGGCTGGAGCTGGGGTCAGACTAGATGGTCCAGGAGAGCCCTTCTGACTCACTGTTTCTGTGTTTCTATGATATAAACAATCCATGAAGTAGGCAGTAGCACCTGGCCAATTAAAAACCCCGTCAACAACAGACCAGCTCACATGTCAAGACATGTCTTAGTGAAAGCATATCTTCCTGCTGTTGAAAGGGCAACAGAGAAGGGCCGAACTAGCCTCTCTTGGCAGGGAGTACAGAGGCTAGGTTGCCAAAATATCCTTTTGCATCCCCACCAAATGTGGCTTCACTGCTATTGGGAAAGAGATAAAAGGTCCTCCTCAAATGTCTTTAAACTGAGGCCTGCTCGTGTCAGGAAATATGGTCT